CGAGGTCCGAGTGGCTTCTGGCCACTCGGGCCTCCCAATCTCCTCCCCCCCTTTCTGTCTTGGGCCCAGCCGATCTCCTTCCCCCAACCCACCCCGGCTCCGGCGGCGAGGCCTGAGTGCCTTCCAGCCGCCAGTCTGCCAGTTCCCAGAGCATTCTCTGCACGTGTGCAGGGAACGCTCATTTAATTTTTACTTTTTACCTAATTTAAATATTTTTTCAACTTTTAATATTTTTCTGCACACCTGGGCATTGCACCACGTGTGCAGGAAAATCTCCCTGCCCCCCAGGTGCCCCCGATGTGCGGATTTAGATATCCGCACAGAGGGGGCAACTTGGCTCAATACAAGAAAAATTAAGCATCCGTTGAAATAAATGACAGATGCACAAGAGCACTTCTGCGTGTTGCACAGATTCCATTCTTTGTGCAGAGGATTCTACCATCCTCATTTTCCTGGAACAATTGCCTTCTTTATTCTTACCTGCCATACCAGTTACATGCCACGCATGCCAGTATAAGACATCACTATGTTTAGATTTTGTTGTCTCAGAATCACTAACTGTTGTTATAAACATATATGGTTGTTTTAAATATTGGTTAAGGTGAAGCACGTTCTGACCTCGGCAGCATATATACTGAAATATTAATGACATTGGCTAAGCTGAAGCTTGGCAAGTTTGCTTAGCTGAACAAACTGAACATGGGGATTGACAGAAGAATGGGACTTCTGATGGCTGGCATCCACTCCTTCGCAATGGATTTTTCTCCTTAACACTAAAAAAAAAACTGAGGAGGATTCTAAGGTTTTGTTTCTTTGTTTGTTTAGATTAAGTGGAGCATAACTAACGGTTAGTATGACATACAGAACAGCCATCCAGAGCCTGCTTCGGTGGGGAGGGCAAGGTATAAATTGAATAAATAAGTAAATAAATGAACACATGCTTACAGAAGCCTACGAATGATATAAGGTAGGAGAAAAAGTGCATGAGAAATCTGAATTTTGGTGAGAGAAGAGGAATTAGTGGAGCTAATTCTGACCTGGATATTACATCAAAGGATGTAATACAGTGGTCCTCAACATGGTACCCTTGGGTAGCATGACACCCACCAACACCTTTTCTGGAGCCCAGCAAGGACTTTTAGGCTTCTGTTCTGGTTATATTGTCAATATTATTTTATGTTAGGGATGCTCGGCTTCCAGTTGGGGCTTGGAGATCCGCAAGAATTAAAACTGATCTCCAGATGACAGCGCTCATTTCTCATGGAGAAAATGGCTGCTCTGGAGGGTGGACTCTGTGGCATTATACTGTGTTGTGGTCCCTCCCCTCTCCAAACTCGTCTTTCTCCAAGCTTAACCCCCGGATTTCCAGGAAATTCCCTGATGTATATAAATAAACAAACAAACCCAGAGCTGGCAACCCTATTTTATGCTTACCCAGGGATCTTTTTGTAGAAAAAGCCCAGCAGGAACTAATTAGCATAATAGGCCACACCTAACAGCAGGAACTCATTAGCATATTGGGCCACACCCCTGACAGCACAGCTCATTAGCACATTAGGACACACCCCATGTTACCAGAAGTGTGGTCATCCAGCCACACCCACCTTTTGCTTGTTATTCTGTTTACCTTATTTGTTGTCAAAACCCAGGGCCTTTTTTGTACCAGGAACTCCTTTGCATGTTAGGCCACACACCCCTAATGTAGCCAATCCTAATGAGTTTCTGCTGTTGGGTGTGGCCTATTATGCTAATGAGTTCCAGCTGGGCGTGGCCAACTTGTGAGCCAGCTGGAACTCCGTTCCTGTGCGTTCCTGCCCAAAAATAGCCCTGTGCTTACCATTTCTTGTAAACTCTTATGGCCCGCTTGGAAAGAGGCAGATTATAAATGTTTTAAACGTATACATACATACAGTCTACACACACAACTATGCAAAGAAATACAAATGTGATTTAAACTTCAGTTGCTGCCGTAACCTCCATTTGTAATATGCACTCATTTCTATACAGCTACTCATCTCTCCTTTTGCCTGACCACCTGCCAGTACTTACATTGAAGTCAATGGGGTTAACAGAGAGCCGCTCTGTTTAGGATTTCAGTACAAATAAACAACAGAACCATTATTTAAATTATGTGGCCTTATTCTGCAGGGGCTACGTATTGTTAGGCCTCGACCTCCTCCTCCCTTGGAAGGATGAGCCTGGTACCTATAAACAGGGGACACGAGTAACCTTCCCTCTCTTCGCATCTCACAAGGTCATTCATTCAAGACTCTTCCCTGGTCTGCAAATAAGAGATCAAAATAGGTCCTACAGTCACATGGAAAGTGTGCACTCAAATATTGACCAGAAACCTGTCTGAAAACTTGATCCTAAAGGTGAAAAGGTCTGGGTTTTGGCAGTACCAACATAATAGACATTTCACAGGAATGTTACATTGCACTTGCAATTCCTGGAAATGTTATGAGGCTTCCTTACTCAGACAACATTGTTTCATTCACACCATCACGTCATTGTTCTAGGAGCAATCATGTCCTGTCCCAAAAGAGCATAACCAGCTGCATTCTGTTCAGTAGAATGGCTCTCTTTTTCAATCTCTCTCCTCGCTGTTGTGTGTGTGTTTGGGCATACACTCACAGCATGGAGCTAGATAGACCCAGCTTGTTTCACTCATCTTTCTCCCTCGGATCTCTGATTCTGATTCTTTGGATAGGTAAATATAGTCCCATGTAAAATAAGTTCCCCTCTCTGTCTCTATAAGCTACCACCTTTATTTTCTGAACTTTTATGTGCAGCAAGCCCCGCCCCCAGCTCCCCGCGCTACAGCCCGTCACCGCCTTCCCAGGCCCCGGTGAGGCCCGAGGAGGCCCGTCGCCGACTTCCCGGGGCCCACGCCAGAGCACTGCCGCCCCGGCGAGGCCCGAGGAGGCCCGTTGCCGCCTTCCCGGGGCCTGCGCCGGAGCGCTGCAGCCCCGGGGTGGCCCGAGGAGGCCCGTCGCTGCCTTCCCAGGGCCTGCGCTGGAGCGCTGTGGCCCCGGGGAGGCCCGAGGAGGCCCAAGCTTAGTTTAGTCTTGGATCACAAAACTAAGACAGGTATAACAGAACAGGTCTACTCCCACTTGAGTAGCTAAATAAGGAACTGGGTTCACAAAATTACTGGCTTCCCCAGGTTCTACTGCGGCACTTATAGAAATATTTTCCAAAAGAAATTAACAGCCAACATGTAAAATGTGGGCATGGAATTGTTATGAAAATCAAGACTTCAGAATTCAAGTGGGACTGAATACTTAATCTGACCAACTTTGGCTGATTCAGTCCTTCACGCATATAATTGCATTAATATACCTCTACAATAAAAATGCAGGAGCACCATACAGACAGGACCACTTAGGGCTGTTCTTAGCTTGCTGGTAATGGCAGAGTAGGCTGTGATGAAGAATAAGAGGTGTTAATTAAACTGCCTGCAAATCTTTGTATTATTTTAAGGTTTTTCTCAGGAAACAAACATGGAGAAATATATAATCATAAAGGAAAGGAAAGCCATAATAAATATACATTCAAAAAACTGCACAGCTTTAAACTAGATCAAATAAGACTATTGAAAACAGTCTGGCCTCACTCCTAAAGCATCAAGTAGTAGCTGGAACCAAGGAGGGCTTTCATTAAATACAACTGCTAGGGAAGTGTATGTTAACTGCCATCAAGTTGCTTCTGATTTATGGCAATGAATGAATGACCTGTGTGA